CATAGTTGGACTTATTTCATAGATATTGCATTTTGCTTGACATTGACGTTAGGATTTGGCCACAGCTTCTGGCACCAGTACACAAGGAAATGAATGCTGATCTCTCCCATGATGAAGTAAGTGGATTGCCAGTTGAACTATGCTGCATTAGCAAAGTTTAACACCAGTATAAGGGGAGGATGAGACAGAGCTTGTCAGTGGTTACACAAACATTTCCTTAATGCCGTCACCTTTACATCCCCCTGAGACAGAAGACATTAGTAAATTCTATTCTGTGATTACAGTGCAATTTTGTACACATAATTTTTTTTCATTTGAATACAAAGAATGGGAGTTTATGGTTTTATTTTGAAAATTTCATTCTTCAAGGTGATAAAATAGCATATATTTTCAAGGAAGTCTTTTTTAGGTAAGACAGTTTGAGTGGTCATATAATTTTTGATTCCTGTAGCTTCAAAAATAAATTTAATGAAATATTTTTGTGAGGAGAAAATATAAAATGCTAGGGATAAATTCCAATTTTCCTGTAAGAATCTTGGCAGACAAGAAGTGGTAATAATTTCTTTCTTCTAAATGCATTAGTCTGGGTTAATAAGAAAAATCTTACTGTATTTGATTGCATCACTTGTCCTTTTTTTATATACAAGACATGAATTGTTATGTAAGAACAGTAGGATCTCAGTCTAGTTTTTGTTTCGCTTAAACTGCTCATGAAACTAGTCTTAGTTTTCACAAAAATGGCCAGTTGTCCTAAACAGACGTGTTTAGGACATGTGTGCATGCAGTTTGACACTCAGAAAATGAACAAAATTCAATCTTCAAATATTAATCACTATTTAAACCTGGTTTAAAATAATTTTTCTTAGTCATTGTACTACTGTGCCATAGCTGAAAAGTTTAAGACTGCAACCTGGTAGAATGGCTTTCAATGTCCATGAATCAATGAAGGAAATATGGTCTTTCTCTCTTTTTTGCTTAATGACTTGCATCTTTTATCTTGTCACATAGTTCAATGGCATAGAATTACAATAAATTAGTTTTGCAATTATCAAACCCTTCAACTTCTCTTTGGCATTTAACGAACCTCAGAATCTGTTTATTGCTTCATATACTTTGCCATCATGAATATTAGCCTTTAATTAACTGGAACTCTAATCTTAATCTTTCTCACTATATTGCAATGAAACATTTTTATTAACTTGAAGAAGATAGTATTTGTTACTGTTTTTCTAATAAATGGAATACTTTCAGAATGACCTTTTTATCAGTAATTATAACAATATAAAATGTAAGAAGGCAGAACTCATTATACCAAAGAAAAGCATTGTCTGATTGGTTTTTGTGTATTTCACTTAGCTACATAAAATCACTGAGAAGCCTCAGCTGAAAGAGGCCAATAGGGATCATGTGATCCAGGCTTAGATCAGGAATTGCAAAAAAGTGGAAGAGGAAATCATGTATATAAACTTTTCCTCAGGCATATTGTGCACAGCTAGAATGACCCAAAGCAGTGTTTGCATTAGAGAATAGTGCTCCATGGTGGTCTCCCTAGTAATGAAGGATGGAAGGAAAAGAAACTGTTTGCAAAAGGTGAGCAGTAGTGGCTCAGGGCAGCCACTCTAGCAAAGGTCTCATAAGCTAGGTTTTGTCAGATACAAATGAAACAAGTTGTCTTCATTAAATAAAGGAGAGCACAATAGTACTCTTGAGTCATGCAACATGACTGTATCTTCAATGCAGGGAGAGTTCCACTGTCTTCCTGATTGCTAATAGTTCTTTGTTCTAGATAGATGTTAGGCTCATTTCTGTCTTGATCATTTCATTGCTTTGAAGTCAGTTGCTCTTCCAGGTATTTAGAGGTTTCTGTATCTATTGCAGACCAATCTGACAAGAAAAGCATCTTTAAGACAAAGGGGAAAAACAACAGCTCTCTCTGTTGACACTATTTTCAAGTATTTGGTACACTGCTACGTCTCCAGCTGTACACAGTACTTGGGTAGTTGTACAGTGCAAGAGGAGTTTGGAGGGTAAAAAAGTCCATATTCAAGTGCAGACAATAATGGCATGTAATATTGAAATGAGAGATATGATAATAGATGAAATTTATTAATGGAACTTCTTAATATTTGGTTTTAGGAATGGTTATTTAATTTTTTTCATTGAAAAAATCAGGATTGCATAATGAAATTTACAGTTGACACAATGTTTGGGGTTGTTATTAAAAGAGATGAAAATCATGGCGTGACAGATACAAGTGGAAGCCTTTGAGAACTGATGTAATAGAAATGTAATTAAATATTATAGTAAAAAGTACAGCATAATGTACTTAAAACTAATGGCAAGAAACTATATTAATAACATTGAGCTCATCATCTGAAAAAAATACTTGCTGTGGCAGTTAATCAATGGATAACTATAAGATGCCAATGTGATGTCACCATGAGACTAAATGTAAGGCTGAGAGATCTACCAAACAGACACTATCACATGAAAAATAATACTCACTGTATTTATGATTCCTGATAATAAGGATTTAGTCAACTTGAAAGGATTCCTTTTTCATCAACTTTTCCAATCACAGCTTGAATGTACAGAAACTTTTAGTATTTTCAACGCTGACTTTTGGCCAGGAGTTCCATAAATCCACTCTTTTCTGCATGAATACATAAATACTTCTGTTTGTTCCAAACTTCTTACTGACTAGATGTTATTTTGATGTCCCATCCTTTTACTGGAGGAGATAGTGGAAAATCTGCCGTTATCACCTTCTCCATAATGTCATGATTTTATAGTTCTTTATTTTATTCTTCCATAGTAATAATTTTCTCACTTTATTCTGTTACTTACCTTCAGTCATCATCCTCTTCTGGACCTTTTCTAATTCTACCACTGCCTTTTTTTGAGATGGCAGATCAGAGCAGGTTAAGAGGGAGCTTCTAAACCTTCATGTACGGACAATGCACAACAAAGGGGTTTGATACCAACATACCTTTAGTCCTTCTAGTGTCTTTGTTCCTGGATAAAGAATAGGTAGAAGTTTAATAAATGTAAACATATTTTCTAGAAAATTTGTGAAGTGCAGTAGGAAAAGGCTCATATCAAATTTACTGACATGAGTTGGGAAGAAGAGAATGTCTGGTATCAGAAAAGATGTAATTTAAGATTGCTTTAGGTATCTCTAATTATGGTAGTCTGCTAGAAAGAATTCAGATTGTATCTCACGCAATCAAGACAACATACTCTTTATCAATAATTTAAGATAAAATCTAACAGTGACCTCTGATACTGTGCAGAAAATAATGTTTTAAAGGATGTATGAAAGACCTGTTTGTGAATAATATACAAAAAACCAGAAGTGCTTTTCCAGTGGCCTCAAAGACTTTGAGACTTGCCTCAAATGAGAAAAGGGAAAAAAATCCAAACAACAACAACAAAAAAAAAACCAAACAAAAAAAAACCCCAAAACACACAAGCAAAAAACCCCACAAAAAACCAAGTGAAAGTACTTAGGTTGGTGGCATAGAACAAATTGTTCCTCTGCAGAACAGCAAGTGGAGGTTTCTTTACATTGGTTAGAAATTATTTTCTTTGAGTATTACTCTCAACTGCTGCAGATGTGGTTACTAAACAAGGTTACAGCTGTGCATATCAAATTTGTTTTCACTGGTTGTGGTCTATCGCGGCTGCAATATGCAACAGAAGGTCACAGTTTGGTAGCCCTAGTTGAAGCAATTTTTGGAAAAGTACAGTGCAGGCATATCAATAGTGGACTCCTCTACCTAGGCCAGTGGAAAATTATGTGAAAACACTTTGGGGAAAAAAGGTGCCAAGTCAAATTTAGATCTATAGTTAGCAGAGATAAATTACAGAATAGCCCAAATGAAAAAGAGGATGTTACAAATTTACATTCTGTTCACTGGAAAGCTGGATGCCTGCTAGAAACTAATGTAAGGGTCACTGAATAAAAATAGAATACCAAATACTGGCTATGGTTTATGATCATTGAAGCTCTTCTCCTTTTTTTTTTTTTTTTTTTTTGAAAATGACACATTTTAGCATTTTTAAAAAAAGAAACATGCAGAGAATTGTAGGAAGTTCTTATTCTAGATGTACAGCAATGGAGTTTCACAGTGAAGAATCAGTTGTCAAGGGCATTTGAGATTAGCTTAGCTCTCTTAGACTCTCTTAGCATTTGAGATTAGCTTTGTTAATTAGCTTAAACAATAGATTTCTTTTAAGTACTTGAAATTCTGTTATCACAGTGCCAATTGTTAGTTGCTGTTACTACTATGTTTGAGAAAAAGGTTCCAGCATGAGCATTTTGGAATTGGACTGTCGTTCAGACTATGCTGTATGCTAAACCAGCAATAGCTCAGATAAGGAACTAAGTGGAGCTAAAACAAATTTCCTCACAGGCAGACGAGAGAGGTCTGAGCAAAAGACCTTCATTCTTTCCAGTGCTTCAGCCATCAATACTGAAGGACTGGAAGTCATCTGAAAACCAAATCCATAGCATTTAGGGAAGGGATATGCTAAGAGAGATTTCCTAATCTCGTTACCTAATGACTAGCAAAAGACAGTGGAAGGTGTAAACAGTAATATTAGTTGGAAATCAAGTCAAATTACTTCTAGAAAGAAACAGAAAAAGGATAAATACTTCATTTCCCTACAATTTCTGCTGTTAATGTCACTACCTTCTTGATGTTTTGGTTTTGCTGAAAAATGTGATAATAGAAAGATCTACTTTAAAATATAGCCAGGTTTTATGGGATAATCTGAAAGTGGCAAAAAAAAAAAAAGCAGTTAACAAAACCTGTCAATCATTACCAAAGTGTATTTCAAAGAAGTGAAGTTTAGCATGTAAAGAAGAAAGTGAACTATAATTTGGGAGATCACTATTATTCTTCTTTTATATATATTTTAAGCTAGGCTTTAGACTTTTTCTAGAAATATGTTACCACTAAACTGTGGAGGGTTTTTTTGTTTTTTTTCTTTTTAAGGTAAGAGGGCCCCCACCTGCAGGATCAGTAAAAGAAAGACCAGCAAAACACACAGCTTTTCGCAAGTTTTATGAGAGAGGAGACTTTCCAATTGCTGTTCAGCATGAGTGTGGAGGAAACAAAATCGCCTGGAAGGTAAGTCCTGGCACAGCTGTGACAACCAGCTGAGCTTATTGAAGTGACATCTCTCATTGTCCAACAAAGTTAGCTTGCAAGTAAATACACTGAAATAATTTCTTAGCAAGTGGAAGATGGTGGGAAAGTCATTAGAGAAAGGCCCCTGAGTCAGCTGTCTGCCTTGGCTAACAATTAAATTATATGCTGCGAAAAGGAAGATGACAGAGTTGCTTTGCCTTAGAGAATTGTCTCCTGCCCAATTCATCTCTATTTTTATGAGGACTTGGCAATGCAGCCTGTTTCAGGCAGTCCATCAAATGATGGAAGTGGCTGGATACAGTGAGCAGCAGCCATTTATCTCCCCAGATTTCACCTTCCTGCAGGACACTTCCAAATAGAAGCTTTAATTACCTAAATGGATAGGTCAAGATGGTCTGCTCCCTGAAAATGCAGAGCAGAATACAAACGAAGGCAGATTCGCATTCCACGGCCGTACTCTGAGTCTCCAGCATATGTCAGACAGTGAAATCTCTGTCATACGTGCCTCTGTTACAGGCTGACCTCCACTGCTGAAACCATTACAGCTCCGACATTTCTCTGACAAAAGGTTAATTGGCTTCAAAATAAATGTATTGCCTAATGACTCTATTCTAATGCGGCTGTGTTTCTCTCTAAAATACTTGGTGACGTTATTTGTAAAACTTGCCAATCTTCTAAGTAACTACTGCAGACTTTTAAATTTAATTTTAAAAATGAATGCTGCTCTTTAACCTCTTCCTACTATTTAATTATTTTGGTTATTGTGAATTACTTTATTTTTTGTCTCATTTATTGGACTAGAAAAAGATTTTGCTGGAAGCCATGTTAGTTACAGAAAATGAACATGCTATGCATGAACAAAATGTGTCAGATTTGTAAAATGTTTATAATTTTTCATGTCAAAAATATGATACCAAATTAAATGTAAAGCTATGTTAAGTCATCGCTAAAAGGAGGAATTTTGCAATCTTATAATTGATTCTGCTTCTAACGAAGCAAACAGGGTTGGCTCTGTAGTGTGGTAAGCAGTACGATATTTGATAGTAACTAAATTTTTAAGGTAGCTCTTTTGCTTATTGAAATACAGAAGAAAGATTTGTGCTACTTTTTTGTTGCCTACAGAGGTTTTGAATCAGCACAAAGAATAATTAATAGTTCTTGCAGCAAAGGGAATCTCAGTCCCAAAATACTTTACCCACAATTGAGGTGAGATTCCAGTGCAGTTGGGCTTCAGGCAACACTAGAAATTCCCTTGTTGGACTAGAACTCACAGGCTTACAACTTAAGCCTGCACTCTGATCATCACCAGGTAAGAACCCAGAGGTGATTTTCAAATAACTGCAAAAAAATCTGCAGAATTTAATTTTCATCTTGAGGCTTTTTAATTTCTAATTTCTCAAAATCAAACTGAGAGGTACAGAAATACTGCTGGACTGGCATTCCACTAGATGATGCTAGTGACTGCTTAGTTGACTTAGGACATCAGGAAATTAAATGGAGCTGCATAAGAAGTTCAGATGGGACATTAGGAAAAGGTTTTTCATTGAGAGGGTGGTTGATCACTGGAACAGATTCCCCAGGGAAGTGCTTGTTAGTTTCTGGACAAAGTTCTTAGTCATATGATTTAGATTTATGTAGTCCTGTGAGGAGAAAGGAGTTGTATTTGATGATCCTTATGGGTCACTTCAGCTTGCTAACTTACCTGCAAGCCTTCCAACCACAGATGCATGCTAAAGTGTTTGATTTCTATATCTGGCAGTTTTAATTGTTTGAAATCATACTGCCTTGGACAGTCCCAACAGCAGAGTCTCTAGTCAAAGATTCAGCATGTATTTTTTCTTAACACAATTTGCAGTCTTCTAGACCTACTTCAGGTCCTACCACTGCCCACCTACTTCAGTAAAACATTGGCTTTTAGCTTGTGCAGTGTAGGACTGAAATGTCATGCAAGACTTATTTTTGCTCTTCTGCTAATCCTGTATTTTGAGAAAAAATATTAGAACTTCAGCATTAATGCAAGTAAGGAGCATAGTACTGGACTATTCTATTCCTGTATTAGTGCAGGTTCAGAGTCAACCTTATTTCCCTTATTCCGTGCCACTCAATTTAGTCACAAATCAATCCTGAGTGAGTTCTGTGGCAGGCAGGCTCTCAACAACACCGAGGTATAGAGTTATCTGAGACTATTGTTTAGTTTGACATGCAACTGTCATTGATTACTGTGCAGTTTAAGTACATGAAACAGGCAAACTGGCGTTTTCCAGTTCAGACTTTGCATTAGATACCTTCTGAAGTCTTAGAAGCTGCCCAGAGCTGCAAAAGGATGAGAATGTTGTTCATCATTAGGTGATACTTAAAGGTACAGATAAAGTAAGGTCTATATTTTTCACTTGTTATAATAAGGACAGAGTTGCACTACTCAAAAGACATTTAATGGCTAATTTTCATCAGTTCATTAATTGTATATCTAATTAAAGAAGTTAACTTTTAGTGATATATCTTACTCAATACTGCTAAATTCATAACAATTGAAAAGATATTTTACTTACGAAATGTGTTAAGGCAAATGTTCTATAAAAGCTTGGCTGAAGTATACTTATTTGCACAAATCATGATCAAGTGGAAGGATAAAAAGAAAAAATGAATGGTAACAATGATATTTTAGTCCTGCTGTAATTGTCCAATATCCATGTTTTATGTTGAGAGAGGTTTTTTGCTCTGTTTAGTTATAATGTATATCGTAGTTGGTTTTAGTCTTGTTGGTTTGTCTATCAAATGGTGCGTGAGAGAAAATGCAGGAGGGTCTCAACTGATTTTTTTTACTAGGAAAGGAAAATACTACAGGATTTTGTTCTTTCCTGCAAAATACACAGCTGTAATTATTTGCTTCTTTGCATGTTTTTATAATTAGTGAATCAAAACTGTAATTGTCAGACTTTTATTTTTTTAGCACTTCAAACACTTGTTCATTATGCTGTTATTCTTTGGACAGAATACAGTAATTTTTAGACAGAACAGGAGAATCTGAAATGCTTTAATATACATTAATTGTATTTGGTTAATATGTGCCAAAAAATTTACACAAATGACTGTTGATATTGTGACAGTTCTGTATATCTATCATTTTAAGCCCATGATTAATTAGCTGTAAGGGCTGGCTGTGTGTAACTGTGGTTGTAGACCTAGATGAAATATAAATTTAACTTCAGGAAATGTATGGAACTGTTTCTGAGTAACTGTATGTGTTGAATATTTAATTCTGAAATAATAGTGCTTTTCTGTTGTTATATAGCTTAATTGTTTCCAAAATGTGCTAAATTTAGAAAGAGGCATTCTTGCACCAAATTAATCCTAAGCATAAACAAAATTGAACTGTGCAGATAAATCATGGTGTTTACCTTGGTGTCTTTTCTTAAAAAAAGGGAACAAACCACTAGATAATTTTAGAAATATGTGTGCTCTTGGTGAATTTTCAGACTAAGTCTCTACTTGTCGACAGGCATCTCTTTGAATATTTCTGTAATGCTGTCATTCTGGCTGGTAAGTTTTACTATTGTTGTAAGTTTAAATAAGCCTGTTTCAACCTAATGGAAGAAAAATGTAAAAAGATAATATACACTTACAAGAACAGGACATTGAAGCTGGTTTTATTATAGACGAGAACAGGAAATTGAAGCTGGTTTTAAAGAATGCCAATTTTTTTTCCAGAGGGGAAAAAAAAAAAAAAAAAACCTCTGATAATGCCAAAGCAAGATTATGTGGTTCTACAGGATATAATCACATTTATTTCTGAAAGAATATGACATTGATTGTTTTGGGGTTCCTAATGTTTGTTTTCAAATCTGGAGAGAAGTTGTCATTTTGTCATTGTGATAAAGTGATTATAGATAATGATTATAATTTGTTAGTTATGTCTGTGAAAACAAGACATAACTCGCTACACAAATTTCTGGCTTTGATTGCAATTAAATTAATAAAATAATTTCAAAATTAATTCCAGATTTTTCATCCCTATTCAGGGGATGTACTAGCAGTCAGTAAATTCGTTGGTAAGTAGCGTCTGCTCAGTGTAACATTTTAATATCTATTTTGAAGCATTTGTTTTTATCCTTCCTTGGTAATCAAAAAGAGAACTGTATATATACCAATGCCTTAAAATTTCTGCAAATATTTAATGTTTATATTTCTTTTGTAAGGTAGTTTTTAAGATCTGGAAATAAACAACTCCTTTATTGAGTTATTGAACAAATGTTCAAGGATCTTTCCAAATAGGAAGCATTTGATTTTTTCCACTAAGAGAGAATGAATAATAATGGCGTGGTTTGAAAAAGTATTTCTAATATGTATTAAATATAAAACTTGAGAATGTAAATTGTTGTTAATTTAGAATTAGATAATATTAGAAAGTGATCTTTATATCGAAAGAATATAATAAAATATTTATAAGTCTTTTGACTACTTTTGTGGGATCCCATAGTTCTTTTCCAGCTTATGTGTATTCCAATTTTATTTCAAAATGTATTAATACATTCTTTTGCACAATCTCATACCAAGCTATGAATAATAAAAGCTCATAGTTCAGGTCTGAAAAGGATGTCCATTTTTAAATATACGATACTAAATTAAAAAAGGTCAGAATGCAATTAAACTTTGACTAAGAAAGTTGATAAAACCAAGGAACTATTTCTGAATTATAAAGTATGTGTTTGAAATGCAGTGTCTCTGTATTAAATGGAAAGTCATCAGAATGTTTGAAAAATTATTTTTAGGGAGTGGAGTTAATTATGCAAGTTATTATGCAGGAGTAAAAAAAGCTTCTATTCTTCAAAAGAATTGTAGCAATTTCAGAGAAATGAAAGCCAAATTCAAAACCTCAAACTTTTTAAGCAAAATGACAACATGAATATGATTTCTGTTTTTGGGGGTTTTTCCCAGAGTCTCTGTATTCACTAAGGATATTACTTCTGCCATTTTAGTTG